AAATTTCTTCATTTCCACCACTCGTATTCTTAGCGGCTTGCTTCCTGCTATTGCGTTTGCTCTTGACAGGTGCAGTGCCTTGGTCTTGCTCTGGAGAATGATTAGCATCCGCGGCACCATCTGGATTGTTAATCAGCTCCTCTTGAGCCTGCTTTTCTTTAGCATGCTGATCCTCAATCCGTTTCTTCTCCTCATCTAGTTCTTGCTGAATGATCCTGGGATCGTCATAGATGGTGTTGGTCATCTCCGAGTAAGTCGTAATGTCAACAGCTTCCCGTGGTCCTAGCAGTGTGTCCTTAATCCGTCCCGGGTCTCGGCGCTCTTCATTGTTGAACTTCAACTTGATCTGGCGCCTGGACCTTCCCGGAAATAGTTTGCTGATCATCATAAAATCGGTACCGAACATGCGCAAGCCTCGATAAAATAAATCCGTCATTTCTTCATCCCAAGATTCAGTTTTGGAGCGCTTTCCAAATGATGCCTGATTGACTTTTCGAGTGAAGGAGTTTTCCACAACATCCTCCAGCTCCCCGGCATTTCTTGCTGCATCCGCATGACGGTCGACCTGGAGCGATGCCGCATCGAGCACAATCTCCCCGTTCACGATTCTCATGACTGGTCCGTTCTGGGACTTTTGCTCGCCTGAATCGCTTGCTTCCAGTACTGGCGGCGCTGTACTTTCGCTCTCTTTGATAGGGGTCTGCTCGGTACTCTCCGCATCCTGTTGTGCTTTCTGCTTGCGTTCCAGCTCAGCCAGCTCCATCTGGCGCAGTTCAGTTTCTCGCTTAGAGATCTTCCCGGTCCGTAAGTCCTTGCATAGTTCCGACATCTTGACAATACCAGGCGCAATCTGGACAGCTTCAGAGCCTTCAGGAGTCGGTTCGCGCTTCTTACGAGGAGCCCGAGGCTTCCTTTCTCTCATCTTGGTCGTCGTATCTCCACCATTGACATCTTTAGACGGCTTCCGTTTTCTTGACTTTGATGGCTTTCGATTCTGTTCCGCGGGAGGCTGCGATTCTGTAGTATCTCGACTCTCCGTAGTCTCCTCATTCGTCGAGGTCTGTGTAGCCGGCGGAGTAGCTAGCTGGGGAGGCCCGGTGGGCCGCTGAGACTCCAAAGCCGGAGTTGCAGGTTCGGCAGTTGTCTTTGGACGCTTGGAGGGCCGGATTTCGGCCGGGGTTTCAGCGACCAGAGATGACTCCCCGTTAACGCGTGTCTCAGAGACTCGAGGCTCTCCTCCTGCGGCTCGATCTTCCCTCGATTCATCAGGCGCTACTTCAATGGAAGGTAGTGGCGTGGGCTCAATGGGGGTTGCGTTAGGAGGCTGTGAAAGAGTAAATGCGGAGAAAGAAGGCTTTCGCTTTGGACGAGGAATTGAAATCGCCGTAGCGGCGGCCTTGGGCGTTGCAATTGCTGTGGCAGTTGCTGTGGCAGAAGTTGTTGGTACCACGTCTTTTTCATGGGGAGTCGCTGCGTCTGGAGCTGGTATCTCAAGAGGAGGAGAAGGCTCGGCAGTTGAAGCAGGTTCAGGAGTTGCAGTTTGTGTTTGTGGCTGAGGAGTTTGAGAAGCCGATACCTGAGAAGCGACACTGGGTCTTCTAGGAGCTGCAGCCGGAGCCGGAGCGGCGCGTCGGACAGGCGCCTTGGGAGCGAATTTCTTGCCCGACTTATCTGTCGTTGGAAGTCATTAGCGCAAAGAAATAACGCGAGATGCTGACCGAAAGTGCAGGAGCGCAAAATAACTTACTAATTGCAGAACTCGAGAAGGACTTCATTGTTACCGATGTCAGTCATAGCTGAAGGCGGGGTGGGAAGAAGAGAAGCCGCGGAGGTGTTTTAGTCTGAAGACTCGAGTTGACAATCGTCGTAGTCGAGAAAGATAGGTGATAATGCTGGCAAAAGTCTAGATGCTGCCGTGCCTTGAACTCCTGGGGAAAGTGGGCGCAGTCACGTGGGAGGCGCTAGGGCGGCGCTAATTCCCAGGCCGAAAATCCTCCTGGATTCAACCAATCTTGCTTATCTTGACTGCTTTCATCCCTCCATCCTAACAACGTCACCCTCTTCTTACGGTCGGATACTATTGCGGCTCCCACCAATATATCGTTGCTGCTCAGTGGTGACGGCTTTACTCTCCTTATGCCTTTTTAGCCACTGATGCCGGCCGTCGAAGCTTCCCCCGTCGCATCCTCCGAGTCCGGTTTCGTCAAGATGGAAGACCGGAAGAGAGCTGCCACATCTGATCACAATGATTCGGCACCACCATTGAAGAAGCAAGCGACTTCTGTCAATGGTGGTAGCAAGCCTCACCCAGATGCTGATATGCCGTGGAAAGATGACTTGGAGGTGAGTTCAGGGTTAGCCGGCGTAGTTGGATTCATTTTATCCCAGGGGGGCCTTGGAAACCCCTCAAGCGCTGAGCCCACCACGTCGTTGGCTATGGTATTCAATACTAACTCTTTATCCCAATATTAGCGATTTCAGAAGGATGCGATATGGCGCCAGATGCAGGAGTACAAGCGTGAGAAGGTCTCCCTGGAGGCCAAATTAAAGGACATGTCGAAAGCCGCTAGTCGCCATAACGAACACCTGCGCGTCATCGATACATGGTATAATCAGGTCTGTAATCAACGGTTCTTATCATGGTGGTGTTACCAACTAACAGTTCCAAAAGTTAATCGATGAGGTTAAATTACTCCTGGGCGCTGCGGAGGATAATAAAGGAGATCGGCCCACATTTCAAAGTTCTTTATCATTCGACGATGTCGACAATTTTGAGAAACATCTGAAATCGCGGTCTAATGATATACGTGACATTATCTCTCGCCTTGTTAAAAATACGCCAAAATCTCCACCTGAAATATCTGAGTTACAGAGTCAGCTCGCCAAGAAACTAGCAGAAGAGAAGGCTACTATCGCTGAGCTTGACAAAGCTTTATCTGAAAAACAGCAATTAGAAGAGAGCTTAGAAGAAGCCTCCTTACGGTACATGGTAGCCGAGAAGAAATTGGACCGTGCACGGAGTCTGACGGTCGCCAAACTGGAGAAGCAATATATCCTAGGCCCCCAACGACCTGGTGGTGACAGTGCGTCCGGTCAACGAGAAGAACAATCGGTTTCGAATGGTGCGACACCTAGTGCCGAACGTGGCCCTGAACTAGATGAAGCACATAACAAGCTAGTAGCTATCTCAGAAAAGCAGAAAGAACAGCTACAGAAGCTGGAGGCCGAAAACGCCAACTTGCTGAGTCAAATCACAGACTTGAATATTAAGGTATGTCATCTTTTTTATGGCCCGTCGAAAGCCATTTGGGACTGACTTTTTGTGAAAGCGTTCCAAACTTACCGATGATGATTATGCGCATACGGACCTGTTTAAGCAAATGCGATCTCAATATGATGATGTAGTAAAACGGATAAATCATTTGGAGGCAACTAATGTGCAACTACGCGAAGAAGCCGTGAAGCTACGATCGGAACGCACTGCATACCGCAATCAGGTTGACGAAGAAACGCAAAATGTTATCGCTGAGAAGGAAGCGCAGTTGATGCGGGCCGAGACGGATTTGGCGCGGATACGGAATGCACGTGATGAATTGTTGGCCGATCAGCAGATGCGGAAGGCTACTCAGGAACAAGAGAAAACAGCTGTTTTGAAAGTTCAGGAACTCGCAGAGGCCGGAAATGCTCGGATTGCTTCTCTGGAGTCGGAGGTTGAACGACTTCGTTTGCAGGTGGAAAACGCAAAAGCCACACAAGCGGATCCCAGTGACATCCCAGTTGAGGAGTTGCGCGCCAAGTACCAGGCACTCGAACGCCAATATGCAATGCTAAACACCGAATTAGCCTCCATGCAAACTGCCTGCAAGAAATACTCTACGCTAGCTTCACAGAAAGTTACAGATTTCAGTGTGTTGGAAGAAAAGGTGGCGCGCTTGACTGCGGAGAAATCCAAGGCCGACCAGAAATACTTCGCCGCAATGAAGAGCAAGGAGGCCCGTGATTTGGAGGTGCGGACCCTGAGGATGCAAAACTCGAAAAGCTCAGATATCGTTTCGCAGTTGAAGGAATCCGAAGCCGCCACACGTTCTTTGTTGGCGAACATGGAGAAGCAAGTTAGTGAGACAAAGGAAGCATTGGCATCTATGATGAACAAGCACCATGCTACACAGCAACAATTGGTAGAGAATGGCATCGTCATAGAAGGCTTAAAGGGGCAGATTAATGAACTGAAGACACTGTCAACGTCCAAGGATGCAACTCTGGCAAGCACTTCCAGTGCCTGTCGGCAAGCCGAGACAGAGATCGAAGGGTTGAAGGCAACACTTGCGGATACCAAGAAAAGCCTGGACAATTGGAAGAACAAGAGCCTGGGAAATTCATCGTCTGAATATGAGATGCTGAGGGTAAAATTACCTTCCTTCCCCGCTTGCCTACAGGATATCACAGCTGACTCGAACATAGACACTAGCACTTTGTACCGTTTGTCGCAGGAACTTCAAGAATACCGCAATCAAAACCTGCGGCCACGTTTTCTGCAAAGACTGCGTCGAAGAGCGCCTTACTTCTCGTTCTCGAAAGTGCCCGAATTGCAACCGATCGTTCGGAAATAATGACTATATGCACATTACCCTTTAGGATCTTTGTTCTTGGCCTGATTTCGCAAATTCTTTTTTGTACCATAGTTTCTTTCACCCTTTTCGTTCTATTCTCCCCAAATTCCCCCTTTTCGAGTTATCGCTTTTATTACCCTTTCCTTTTCTTTGCCTTCTCGAATCCACTTTTGTCCCCCCTGAGTCATGGAAAAGGTTACGGTGCGGTGTTTTGCTATGCGGTTTAGCAGGGTAGGTTTCCAAGAGGGGCCGGCGTTCAACTTGTTTCTTTTCTCTTTGCATATTGGCCAGTCAAGGCGGATCTCAGGTCTTCGGGGTTTCTTGTTCCTTTGATTTCTCACTTTCTATTCCCTTGTTCCCTTCAGGAAAGGGGCTTTCTTGGATACCCACTACAGTGTTCCGAGTAGCATCTGGGTGGGCGGGCAAGGCACGTGATGTAGGATTAGCTTGGAAGTTATGGACGAGGAAAGAGACGAAGAATGCAGCAGAACGGAGTCATGTCAACCATGACAAATCTAAAAACAATCAGCACGCTGTTATAGAATTGTATTCATTATGAATTAAATATCCTGCTGTATAAAAGTTCATGCCGTCCAACCCAAAGATCTAATGGAGGTACAACTTGACCCGCATCTTCTACGGGTGTATCCCACTCTCGGTCTATCCGGTTCATTATCATATCTTGTAGGCCTTTACTGGCTAGGATAGCCTGTGCTTGATATGGCCCCATCACGGAGGCCCGCACCGCAGCACTTAGGACTGCCTTCGCATGGTTCAACATGAACACATATGCTGTTTGGCGAGCATCCATTCCCATGGCCAGACAAACGATGCCCCATAAGGGTGCAAAGTGACCCTTGGGACCCAAGTCATCTGCTGCGTCAGAACACGACTTCAGGGCGTCCGAAAAATCCTCAATGGCTTTGGCCGCCTCGGAAGCAGCAACGCCTGCTGAAAATGGTCCGGAAGCATACGTCCCTCGGAACGCCCGTTCCCAGACACCGATCAATGCCCTCCCTTGCGCGATGCTCGCTCGCTGCGCCACTACACAGGGCGTTGACGCATCCATGTCATTATCCAATGTTTCTAGGTCTTCTGGATGTCGGTAAGCCGCGAGAACGTATGGTATTGATGTGCTCGCCATTGATGTGATTGATAGTTTTAAAAAGCGATGGAAGGATGCAGTGGGTGTGATCTTTGGAGGAAGAGGTTTATTATGCGCGAGATAAGATTCGAGACCGCTAGAATAGGCAAATGAACCCAACGGAAGGGCAGAGTCCGATAGTAGGAATAATGCATGACTGGAAAGTAATGGGGCTGTATCTGGAGGTAAGAGGTCAGCATTGGCCGCCGCAAGGTCTTGTAATGCGTTTCGCCTACCCTGGGGAAGAGGCAAGTATGAATCTCCGCTCGGCTCCTGGCCGGAGGCCACTGCTAGACGAGCTTTGGCATTCTGTAGACGATACTCGAGATCAAGGATCTCTTTCTCCAAACCCTGAGGACTCGATTTCGTGATCATTGGGATGTACACTTGAGGAATAAGATGAGAAATGGAGGAAATTCGCAGCGCCAGATGGAGGGCCGCCACTTCCTTATCTATTACCGATGTTAGTTCGCCGATAAGGATCGGAGTCGCCCGATTTAGCGGTAAGCGGTGGCAAAAACGGGTCTCGGCGACCGGCTTCGGGACTTCTCGTATCGAGCCCAGAAGCAAACCGTTTGGTCAACCTATGACAAATTGCACCGCTCGTCATGCCAGTTCGTTAGTCCGGAGACGACACTGATATTTCCCCTCCTCCTCTTTTTCCCTTTTTTTTTTTTTTCTTTCCTTCTTTTAGGATTTATACTATGTCTGGAAGGCGTCTTCTGGACGCTATCCAAGTTCTCAATGTCGCCAAGTCCGTTGCAACGAAACATCTGGCGGTGCGCCAGCGCCAGTTAGATTTGTTTACAAGAACCTCGTCTCTTACCAAGGGCCTCAAAGAGCAAGCCGACGGCCTCGTACTCACCGCTCAAGCCGCCGCAGCTTTGGCCAGGCGATTCGATGAACCCAGTCCCTCCGACTCGACGCCGAGGGCTCAGACCCAAAGCGCGACCGAGTCTCGCCGTGCGGCGAATCTCTCTGCCGACGACGCAAGGAGATCACAACGACAGGCGGAATCCCAGATTCCTTCGACCGCGGCAGAATACAATGGAAATGAAAGGTCGGGTGACTTGAATGTCAGTCCACAGCAGGATGTGTTCTACCAGCCATCCCAAAAGGCAGGGCCTGAGCTATCTGGACTTCCTAGAACGAAACTACCCAAGGCTGCAAGTGATACCCAGAGTGGTTTAGTCAATGAAATTAATGCGGATGTATTTCACTCGTCTGTGGATGCCGAGAAGGTTGCAACGCCTGCGGAAGAGCAGGAAATCCCAGACGAGGTCATGAGTCAACTCTTTCGTAGCCCTAAGGTTGCCAAAACGATTTCTCGGAAAGGTGATTTGAGCATGAACGAAGGCGAACTCAAGACTGCTGGGGCGGCCACGCGCTCAGTAGAGAAGGATGACATAGAGAAGCTCGGAAATAGTATTGCAGATGATATAGACTCGACCAACTCCCAGGTTCGTAGTGTCATTTTCCTGAGAAGGAAGTATATACATGCTAATAGCTTTGAGCAGACAGATCCAGTGGTAATAGCAGACTCAAAACAAGCAGAAAATTATAGAATGTTAGAATCGCGTGTTCCGTCATCACGTCTAGGGAGACTATGGCAATATGGTGGATTGGCGACTTCCATGGCTTTTGGAGCTGTCGGTGAGGGTCTACGAAGAGTAACCGGCAGTAATGACGCGGACGCTGGATCTCTAATGTTCAGTCCCGGGAACATGGAACGCCTTGTCGCTAAGCTTTCTAAGATGCGTGGTGCTGCCCTCAAATTAGGCCAGATGCTGAGCTTCCAAGGTTTGTATAAGCCTTTTCCCTCTGCTGTCGGGACAAAACTAACTGCTTTAGACTCGAAGATGCTCCCAGAGTCCATCGGAATTGTTCTGCAGAGAGTACAAGACCGAGCTGACTACATGCCGGCCTCTCAACGCGACAAGGTTCTAGCTGATAACTTGGGCCCTAACTGGCGGGATCTATTCTCCTCTTTCGATGAAGTCCCAATGGCTGCAGCTTCTATCGGTCAGGTCCATGGAGCCGTGCTAAAGAAGACAGGTCAACCCGTCGCCGTCAAAGTACAATACCCGGGTGTGGCAGATTCTATCGACTCGGACCTGAACAACCTGTCAATCCTACTCACTGCATCTCGTCTTCTCCCAAAGGGTCTGTATCTGGACAAGACTATCGCAAATGCCCGCACAGAACTCGCCTGGGAATGTGACTACATCCGTGAAGCCGAATGCAGCAAGCACTTCAAGGAACTTCTCAAGGATGATCCAGTCTTTTTGGTACCGGAAATCATCCCCGAGGCCTCAGGTAGGCAGGTCTTGACCATGGAGCGCTTGAACGGTGTTGCCGTTACCAAGATTCAAAATTTCACCCAAGAACAGCGTGATTGGATCGGCACACAGATCATGCGTCTGTGTTTGCGAGAAATCACCGAATTCAAATACATGCAGACAGACCCGAACTGGACCAACTTCCTCTACAACGCAGAGACTAACCGTCTAGAACTTCTTGATTTCGGTGCTTCGCGCGAGTACCCCACCGAATTCATCACGAACTACATTCGCACACTTGTGGCTGCCTCTCGGAATGATCGTGAGACATGCCACCGTCTCTCCATTGACCTGGGCTACCTGACTGGTCACGAGTCGCCGGCTATGGTGAATGCACACGTCTCCTCCATCATCACTCTTGCCGAACCCTTCATGGGCTCTTCCCCAGATGTCTATGACTTCAGCAACCAGACCATCACAGATAGAGTCCGCACTTTTATTCCAGTTATGATCCGAGAGCGCTTGTCGCCTCCGCCGGAGGAGACCTATAGTCTTCACCGGAAACTCAGCGGTGCTTTCTTGCTGTGTGCCAAACTAGGCAGCCGAGTGCGGTGCAAGGAACTGTTTGAAGAGGCAGTCAAGAAGGCTGATAAGTCCGGAATCGAGATCAAGCCTTAGGATGTAAGAGTTACTATCTTGGTCTATATGTATTATAATCCGTGCAAAAAGTCAACCCCTGTAAATTATATAGATAATGTATGACTAGAGAACATGATGCAATAAGATACTGCAGACTTCGCCTCTCTACCTTCTACATACTGAAGAGACAGCCACCAGACCTTATTTATGTAGACCCTTGTTTGTCACATTTAACTTTCTTTCAGATCTAGAAGAGTAAGGCCCTGGCTCTGGCTAAATCTTGCAGGCGCGATGAGCCATGCATAGTAGTACTGCAGTGCTGCTATATATACAGACCGTAGAATTGAATAATAATAATGGATAACATACCGCAGAAAATATGTGCTATCGATCCAAATGATTGACGCTAATATATTCATACAAATATATGAGAAAGTCATTAGTTTATGCCTGGGTAGCCTAGACGAGCCAAAAGCTTAGTCGCTTCTTAACAAACCTAGTAGTGGGCATGCCATGCATCAACCTTCCACGAAGTGGTCCGAGTCTTCTAAGCCGGGGGCTGCTCGGAAGGTATCCCGCGCTTTGTATGTTTTGAGATGCCATCAAGTTTCATAGAAGAGGTGCCGGTTGTTTTTGAAATGATACGTTCATTCTGAGGCAACATTTCTAAGCCCACTATGTTCGTGGGGGTCTTCTCAACTCGACCCGGCCAAACAATGACGGGAAGTGAGGGCAAAGGATGCGATGTCGTCCAAGACAAAAATGCAGTGTTCATATAGCCAGCGCGAACACTAACATGTCCTGGGACACGTCCTGTGATAGATTTGTTCACCACGAATGAGATAACGCCGCAGTGACATGATGAAGGCACCAACGCAAATTTTGCTCAAGCTAGAATGTTCCAGCCTGCTTAAATCTTTGGTGACTTGTCAACGTATATTGCATTCCAGTACTTTTTCACACCCGCGCAGATGCCCTTGCGACCCTTCCAGGAACTGAATTTACTCTCGAGTTCGCAGCCTGTCCAGAGAATTTCTTTCCAGAAATACTTTTCGACATCCGTACTAAACTTTCCAATTACTTCTTGAGGAATGGTCCATGCGCGTGTGTAGCTACCGTCATCGGCGAAAGCCGGGTTGACGGCTTGCTTATCGAACACTGTAGCTGGGTTGAACTTTGGGAAATTAGCATGGATAAAGAAGGCACGAGGAGCAGGGGCCTTTGATCCATGAACGCGCCATTCTCCTTTTTGTGTCAAGGCGTAATCCTCAACCGGATCAAACTGGACCATTGCGGAGCCAGCCAAGCCGCCCTCGGTGCCGTGACCAATGGCGCAAATGGGCTCAGAAACCTGATAGTATGATTCCCCGAGAGCTAGAGCAGCTGCAACGAACGTTTCCTTATCACCCTCACCAGATGCACCTTGAGACAAAAGTGGGTAGTAATAATCGGGGCCCCAGAAGTTATAATAAACACTGAGAAGGAGTGTGTGCATGTGGGTCTTCTTGGAAAGGAGCACCTCGCCAGATTCACTGGATTGCCGAATGGTATTTGACGGCATAGGTTGGGATGATATCTCGTAATAATATGACGAGACTGTGGTCGCCCAAAAGTCTGGCCACGTAACCATTTTCTTTGACTTGAAAGGTTCGTTCATGAAGAGTACTTCTGGTTGATGTAGCGGGAATGCGTCGGCATCTAGGAACAAAATTTCCTCAAAAGAAGAGAACATCATGGCGAACAGTTTGAATTGGTATTTCTGGATATCCATGACCTTTGGAACGGCATCCAAAATATGGGAAAGTACCACGCATCGTGCATTGAGAGACGGAAGAACCACGTCGCATATATATCTCTCATACTCATCCTCATTGGCAAGGAATACCTCGAGTGGCAGTTCTGAGCCTGTCCTCCGAAGCATTCGAAGCGAGATGACCAACACGGGTAAGTATTCGCCGCCAGCGGTCGAAACTAATCCTCTAGTGTTGGGAACATAGTGCAGCATGGGTGGCTTCGCCTTAATCTCCTCGACGAACCCAGTATGAGCTTGCTTCATGGTATCAACGTGATCGTCCAGCATGTCCAGTACCTCAGGCCGGAAGTCAGGGCTCGCTTGCTCAAACCTAATCGACGGCGCGTTATCCAGTCGAAGTGGCGGTTCACATTTTGGCTGGTAGGCAGCCAGAAGAGGCTGAAATTGGCGCCAGAAGCCGATATGACCTTCCGGCTTAGTCAATACTACAGCCTGGGCCTTGGATGGTACTGCCTCTTTAGCTGCGGATTGCACTTGTTCTGCATAGGAAACGCGCTGCCAGCGCAAGAAAGAATATGTGAGGAAAGCTGCGAGTGCAGCCGCTAACAGCAGTGTCCGCACCCGTGAAAAGGGTCGAGGCAAAACCATTTCACCTCCTCCCTCTCTTTGTCTGCTTTCTGTGTTCCCTTTCCTCCACGGTGTGCGTGTGACTTGATTATTATCCTCCTTCCCTCTATGATCGAGAATCTTTCCCCTGGAACCTGGAGCAAACGTCGATGTCGATTCCGAGTTCTTCCTATGATATATGTTCGATTCAGGAGGAGGAACGGAAATTGCTGCAAGGTGACGTATTGGAGTGAGCCCGTCAGCGCATCGGAGACAGATCGCCCGCGAGTATGTAACAATGATTGATGATATAATTGACTCAGGTAAACCAGGACGAAGGGTACGCGGAAGAGGACGTCGAGAAGAATTTGAAGGTTAAAGAAGCGCGCGAATGGAAATACGAAGTCATGAGGAAACACGATTTAATTTAACTCAACCCAAGCTAATAAATCCCAGGGTTTATTGATCCATGCGTGAGGACCCACGTGTGCTCCGTCATGGAAATTGTGGTATTTTTGACCGCCCGGTACTGGGTATTTATCATGTCCGCGGGGAAAGGATCCAGTTTTTATCGATAGGGTCTGGTAATTCCCGATACCAGCTGCTGTCACTTTTAAGGATCTAAGAGTACTAATAAACTGCTAACTTAAATTGTTGATTCTACATGGCAGATTGATGTGATTTATAAACAACCGCCCCCCCCCCTCCCCCAAAATCATGAAGGGCATGTTAGGATACATACATAGGCATATCTCTTGCCTCTCCTGGTCAGTCATAGAGATCATTCCCATTTGAATCCTGATTGGATTCTTCCTCCTCTAAGATCGTGGAAGACAGAAGACCACTCTTTTGGATTTGTCTACTGCTGCCGGCCAGGTACTCGTTGAGCGGACTATATCTTCTTTCCAGAGCGTTTCTCTTCGGTCCCTTGATGGCGCCAGCCTGATAAGCTTCGGGTTGACGAGGTAAAGGGTAACTTAGCCCCAGAGACTGGTTCAAAATCTCCACAATGAAGGAACTCGTATAGTACAATAGCAGCCCCAGTGATACCCCTGTGAGTATAGCTGCCAAAACAAAGGTCAAAAAAGCCTGTAAGAATGTCAACAACCATCCCTATTTGGGCTATTGGACTCAAGCAAATTTTTCTTTGATGGGTGACACGATTCAAATACTTCCGTACCTCAAATTTCAAAATTATATTAAAGGGCCAAAGGGTGCAGTGAAGAGAGAATTGTCCTAGTTTCACCAATGGCGTTACCAATAGTTGCAAGATTCGATATCCGTAGTATATGAGAAAGGTAACAGGATATAGGAGTATCCATTGCGACACTGTCGTTATCGCGGAAATCCAGGACATTGATGCGCCGTAAAATATTAGTAGCTACCAAAAAGAGCTCTTCATTACGTAGGGCAATTCTTTATGCGACAATACCAAACTCTATGGAAGAAGAATGATGAATGAATGTTAATTGATCCTCATCATTCCTCCTCGACACATAAGCTTCCTTAGGCGGTAGCCTCTGGCAGAATCATATAGATAAGAATTCTTGCTTGAACGAGCTGGTGGCCTTTTACGGTTCCATGCGACCTCGGAAATATGGACAGTGCTTGAAGATACTACCTTTAGGCTATACAGCAAAGAAACATTAGGACTAACAATGACTACTACTATGTTACTGATACCATGATACAGGGGACTTCCGGTGATCGGAGATAACTGCCGACTATCCGGCGGGAGCCCTAAGCCCTAATTGATAAGTTGGCCCAGACTCTGGGGTCGCCGACATCGACATCATCGCTACTTCACTCGATGTCCAGCTCCGTTTTACGTGGACTATACTTACATTGTCAGTACCTTTTTGGGCACTAAATCACGCTTGATTATTTTCGGAGTCCTTCTAGTTCGCCTTCCCTATTTGTGTTTCCCCCATTGCCGGTCGAGGACCGCGATCTAATGCTAGCGACCCGACCTACATAACGTCCACCTCGTCTCGAACTTCCTTCCCCTCCTCCCCTCCTTCATTTATATCTGTCCCCCACATCTTCACTCTTCGACGCCTCTAATGGGTAATAACCCTTCCAAGGGCCCCGCCGGAGATGTCCCGTCGACTTCGGGCCACTCGGCCCATGCGGGTTCTACGGGTGACAAGAAAGTGACTCGCCGACCATCGCTCAATGCTCCATCAGGCACAGCAAAAGCCACTGCCGCGGATCCCTCTGCATCTAAAGAGACTGCAACTGGCCATTCAGCTTCGCAAAATCAGGCATCAGTTCAACAGCGTCTTCAATCGCGCAATGTCCCAGACTCAGCGGCGCGGAATGCGCCTGAATCTAAGAAAATAGATTCTCACTACAAAGAAACACCCTCCCTCGATCCGTCAAACCCCGTCCAGGTACCGACTTCACGATCTAGCGCTAGGCACGATCACTATACATCCGTAGCGCCTTCTGGTCCACCCCACAATGCCTACTACAGCGCATCTGCCCATCTCCAGCGGCCACCTCGATTACCTCTACCGATTGGTGATGCCACGGCGACGCCAGGTTCACCCTATATGGGGTCGCCTCCCTCGGATCGATTGCTTGATGAACAGGCAGGTCTGGGGGATCCTAACCTGGGCGATGCTGCCGTCGAAGATGAAGAAGTTTTGGAAGAGCTGGAGCCGTATACAAGCAGTGGTGTAGGCAGGCCTGTCCCTACGATTATAGAATGGACTGCTCCTGGCGACAAGGTTTATGTCACCGGAACCTTCGTCAACTGGGAGAAAAAGTTCCGTCTACACAGAAGGTATGCGATGCTATTGGTAATATCCGTTTCCATTGCTTGTTGTTGGACCCGCAAGACCACATCGTCTGGCCTCTATCAAGCTCCCCCGCTAACACAACACCTGGGTAAGCAGTGAAAGTAACCCCAGCGTTATGTCAACGAGATTAAATCTCCGCCCTGGAACACACCACCTAAAATTCATCGTAGACGGTGAGATGCGCGCGTCGGACAGTCTTCCCACAGCAGTAGACTTTACCAACCACCTCGTTAATTACATCGAAATAAGCGCCGACGACACCAATCGGTCACGGAGCGGTAGTGATAAAACATCTCAAAGCAACGTTCCTCCCGGAGTCCACCCTCCGCAAGTCCTCCCCACTCGAGTTGGGTCGGAACAGGTTGGATCCGGATCAGCCGTCGAAGATCAACCGGACGAGCTGGAAGAGATCCCCCAAGGAGACTTCCGTCGTATAATCCCGCAGTTCCTTGTTGACTTGGACAGAGAAGATGAAACGCAAGAGAGCCCAGCTTACCAACAAGCTGTCAATGTGATTGGCGATGCACCTACGCCGCCAAGTCTTCCCTTGTTTCTGGGGAAGTCGATATTAAACGGCACTACGCCAATGAAGGACGATAGCAGCGTGCTGAACTATCCCAACCATACTGTTTTGAATCATCTGGCGACGAGCAGTATCAAAAATGGTGTCCTTGCTACCAGCGCAACAACCAGATATAAACGCAAGGTGAGTCACTCAGTCGAACAGCCTCTGGTGCCTAGTTTACTAAGACGTACAACCACAGTACGTAACGACAATTTTGTATAAGCCAACTGGGGATATCGCGGGATAGACAGAATCACACAAGACGCCACTGCATATCCCTTGATCGGTTAGGAGCGGTACATTTACTCCTTAGCTAGACAAGACCTTGTTAAACGTTCTTCGCCTAATGAATCTCTGCTGGCTCCGTGATCCAATTCGTCTTTGAAACATCCGAGGAAAGCTTTTCAACAGAATCAATATATCCTTGGGACTTAATGGCTGTCCACGTATATGGGATGTCTCCCCAACCCACCGTCCCTTTTCTTTTACCAACAAACGCACATACATCGGAAGCCAGGCATATAGCCTTTAGGCACTTGTTAATGGGCTGGATGTTACGCAAGAGTTGTTTGACTACTCATTTCATTGAAGGCGCTTTGAATCGCCATTTCTTCCGGAGTTTCTTGGGATGCATCATTAGCGATAAGAACTTTAACATGCCTTGCCTTTCCCTTTCTGTTCGCCATGCGACTGTGTCGTATGTGCTTCAGTGCTTCTTGGCTATACCTCAAATGCCTAATGTATACTAGCATTGGTCGGGTCCAATACGGCCTAGAGTGATGCTGGGTCATCTATGAATCACATAACATCACATACCATTTCTTCTCCCCGGGTCATTGTCTGGGGGATAACTCGATGCTCCCATGGCCACCTATAATCTTCAAATACAACCTCCCAGCATTATACTGCAACTATTGCATTACAGCGGTCTCCATGAACACAAAAAGTAACGGTAAAACACAGTGGAATCAATGTATTCATGGTAATTCGTAAGTCTATTTTATTTTATCCAGTGCATGGGGCCCCGTTAGATAAATCAGCATATTAATCCCTCCACTTTACGAACACGTCATCCGTTCGGAACCGTTGCGTACATGTGGAATCCTTTAATGGCGTGCGGAATCCAGTCGAGTACGCGAGCAAACCAGCCTGCGCGATCATGATTCCATTATCGATACAGAATCTTTCGTCTGTGGCATGAACGCTACCTCCGCGGTCCCGGGCCATGATCCCCATCATCTCCTGTAACCTCTCATTGCAACCGACACCACCAACAATCAGAACTTCTTTGGAGCCGACGTGTGCCATTGCGCGTTCCGTAATTTCAACAAGCATGGAGAAGATAGTCTCTTGGAGTGAAAAGCACAAGTCCGCGCGGGTAGGTTTCCCATTACCATCAGTATCAGGTATAGGTGTATCGGTCTCATCATCCTTCCCTTCACCACCTAGTCCATATGTCGCGGCCAAGCCATCCACTGCGGCTAAGATACCAGAGAAGGAGCAGTCCATTCCCTTTACAGTGTATGGTAGATCAACTAATTGCTTGCCCTTTTTGGCTAACTGTTCAATATTATATCCCGGAGCCGGGTCATTGGAAATGTGAAGCGTTCGTGCGAACCGGTCCAAGCAATTACCCACCGCAATATCAAGAGTCTCGCCGAAGATCCGGTACCTTTGCGAGCTATATGCAATTACTTGTGTGTTTCCTCCGGAAACATAGAGTACAACTGGATTGGTAGAGCCTGTAATGAGTCTACCCATCTCGATATCTATGTAACGTTAGCGCCATGGGCACCAAAGAAGTATGCAACAGGTTTATGCACGAGTACTAGAAGAAGGGGCATAAAAATAGGCATTAGGGCTATACATACGTCCGACACAATGATTTACACCGACCAACTCCTTGCCCCATAATAGACTCAACATCCGAGCCGCAACTGCAACGCTCTGAAGGGGAGCTCCCATACCAGGGCCCTTGGTGAAACAAATACAATCCACATCCTGGACGGACACACGAGCTTCCTTGAGCGCTTTTTTCACTAGCTTTACCACCCAAGTGCGATGATGCCTAGCGGTATCTTTAGGGAGGAAACCCTCACCCGGGGGGGAAACATAAGTGTGACGGATGTTCGCGAGTACCTGCGGGGGTTTGCCATTATCAGGATGCAACATGATGCCCACGCCAAGCTTGTTGGCGGAGCCCTCCAGGCCGATAGCGATCATAATAGAAGGGGAGGGGAAAATTAGATAGAACAGTAATCTCTAGTCTTAATGAATATCCAAAAGAAACAACACAAAACAAGAACAGTGTGGAAGAGGGGGGGGGGTTTACAATGAGTGAGATTATTTTGCATTGATATGCAGAGGGGCAAAATCGATCTTTTTTTTATCAGCAACGTTATCGATTGGTGCGCTTGAAAGGCGGTAATATCCGCTGCAGCGTTTATCCGACGGTATACATCCAGCGGTACGGCGTGTCTACTATGGAACTACTCCGTACGTACTAAACTACAGCTCACCCACCCACCCCAAAACCAACCCACCTAGTGACTATCCCTTCACACGCACACACACAACCGTGGACGATTTACTTCGTTGCTCATCCTGCCCTGTCTGGGCTTCTTTCAATCCTCCGGTCTTACTCTATTACTCCCCCTTTTGACTGTCCCTTTCCTCCGTGTGCCCGAGAAAAAGAGTGGGGCCCTCTGTCTTTCTTGTATTTCCGTTTTTCTTTGGTGTGCTCTTCTACCTACTCCACTACTCTTCCTCGTCAAAGGCACCATGTCTTCCACAGTCCATTTTCTCGATCCGGTGAATTTCCAGTCTCAGTCAGACGAGTTTATCTCTTGGCTGTCTGGTAAGCCCGGGGTGAAGGTCAACCCTAAGATTCGCCTCGCTGATTTGAGATCCAGAGCGGCGGGCAGAGGTGTCGGTACGTGATCATTCCAGGAAGAATTTCGCCCACTTCGGTTTTCCGCCGCGCCCAGAATTGTATTTCATGGAATCTCGTCTCTGATAGACATATATCAATGTACTAGTGGCGCAATCCGATATTGCCGAGGGTGAAGAACTTTTTACGATTCCCCGCGAACACGTCCTCTCAACTCAGAATTCAAAATTGAAGGATTTGCTCTCCCAGGATGTGGAGGAGCTGGGGCCATGGCTGTCCCTTATGCTGGTCATGATCTACGAGTATCTTCTCGGGGATAACTCGGCCTGGGCATCATACTTCAAGGTCCTTCCCCGAAAATTTGATACCCTAATGTTCTGGTCGCCTTCAGAGCTTCAGGAGCTTCAGGGTAGCGCAATCGTCGATAGAATTGGCAAGGAAGGTGCAGAAGAGTCCATACTTGAAATGATTGCTCCTATCGTGAGAGCCAATCCATCTCTCTTTCCGCCGGTGGATGGTCTAGCGTCGTATGATGGCGATGCTGGCACTCAGGCCCTCCTAAACCTCGCTCATATGATGGGCTCTCTTATCATGGCTTACGCCTTCGATATCGAGAAACCCGAAGATGAGGATGATGAAGGAGATGATGAAAGCGGATACGTGACTGATGATGAGGAACAGCTGTCCAAGGGCATGGTTCCTCTGGCAGATTTGTTGAATGCCGATGCAGACCAGAATAACGTGAGTTCTCTCCCTTCACGTCTAGCAAGCCATAGGCGCTCATTCATTTGAAGGCTCGTCTTTTCCAAGAAGAGGTCGGTCTTGTAATGAAGGCTATCAAGCCTATCAGTGCAGGGGCTGAGATTTTCAATGATTATGGAGAGATCCCCCGTGCGGACCTTCTGAGGAGGTACGGCTACGTGACCGATAACTATTGTCCTTACGATGTAGTTGAACTGTCACTGGAGCTTATTTGCCAGGCGGCAGGCCTTGCAAATGCCGATATTGAGAACCAACCTGTGGTATGTACTTTCAATCTCGCCAATAACTTTCTGAAATACAATGCTAATCAGAGACTGTAGCTCCAATTCCTTGAGGAGTTGGAAGTCCTCGATGACGGTTATGACATTCCGAGGCCATTGGATGATGATTTGGCAGGTGTTCTTCCGGACGAACTGGTTGTCTTGGCTAAAGTGCTCTGCATGTCGAGTGACGAGCTGAAGCAGCAGGTTTCAAAGAACAAACCCCCGAAGCCTTCTTTTGGCCACAAGGAAGTAACGCTACTCTCAAAGGCTGTTCAATCAAAGCAAGCCCAGTACACAACGACCCTTACACAGGACAAAGAATTGCTGGCACAATTGAGCCAGTTGGAGGCTACAACCCCCTTGGAAGACTCTGCACGACGACAAAAAATGGCAATCCAGGTTCGGATTGGCGAGAAGGAAATCCTGCAAACCTTATCCGACATGCTCCTCGCTAACTCAGAGGGAAGCACGACCTCAAAGCGAGCCGCTAACGGCGACAATGACGCATCGAGGAGAACGAAGACCCAGAGGACTTGATCCCACCGGTCTGCGAGGCGTTGTCTATTTTGCATCGATAAGAAAAGTTTCTCTTTTGTTACCAGTGATATTAATTCTTAATATTTTTTTTTTCGTTGCTGACCTCATAGCTTCGCTATCCGTACAAGTCTCTATCGACTGATCATCTGGGAGAATAAAAGAAAAGAAAGAAACAATATGTACACTAACATGGCATAATCCCAGGGTCAGGTCATGAAAAAGCATCCATCTGCGACATTATCCTGAAATTTTTGAAAGCGTCGCGGCGTTCAGGCAACTGATGATAAAAGGGATGTTGAAGACAAAGACAGCTTGAAGCGTCGGGGGAGTAAAACTACAGTGGGGGTTGAAAAAATGGGAAACAGAGAGCAACGCCTGCCAAATGCGACATATGAGTGTGGGAAATTAAGAGGATTCGAGTGAGGGGGGAGAAGAACAGAGTCCAGCTCAAGTCTCAGGTGTAGGGGCAATGGCACCAGGCCCAGGGTTGGATCCCATGGTTTGCCCCGAATTGTTGGCCGTTTGGTCAGCTTGCAATCGCCGCTGCGCTTGAGCCTGAGCCTGGGCTTGCGCCTGCGCATGCGCCTGAGCTGCAGCCGCGGCTTGGTCTCGGGCCTTCGCCATCATGATGGCTCGGTGCTGCATGATGTGGATGTCAAACTGGTCTCGTTCAAAGTCGAGCTCTTCGTCTGAATCTTCCTGGTCATACTTGAAGCGATCGGCCTTCCACGGATCCAGCTCCACTCTACAACGCGAAACAAGATTTCGACGATCGATGAACAAACGACCACCACGCCCGATGCGTCGCCTGAACGAGGGCATCCTGCTGGTATCGTCGCTCATCACCATGGTTTGAGGTGCTAGCTTGTCTCGGAGAGACAGTGAGCCTGGGTTATCTAAGGTCGTATCCATCATGTTCTCAGATGAGTCTGAGGATGGTGGCGTCGGCAATTGGGCAGTAATTGCCGGGCGGAAAGCAGCCTGGAAGGTCCTCTCGGGGGATGGTGAGAGGGGCGCCCTTGTGAAGTCTACATAGCCCTCGTTCCATTTGATATGCTTGGCGATGTTTTGATTTATATCGCGCAGAATTTCGTTTTCTTTTTCTGCCTGGACATCTTCCAGCAACTGCAGGTCCTCCGCAGCCTGGGTGCCAGCCTTTGGCGGCATACGGAGCTGAGGGGCCACCGGTCGCTGCACAGCTGGCGCTTCGGTCGGCTTTTTCTTGGGCTATTACCGATCAGTATCAGAACGATGCAGAAGCGAACAAGCATAATTCTTACCTTCTGGTTAATGAGATCCTCATCGTCATCCTTGAGATTGAGTTTCCTCTTCATCTCCTTGACCTCGGATCGTTGCAAGAACACTTGCCGTTCAATAGCAAGCATCTCCTTCCTCGCCAGCTCGCGCTGACGCACCAGAGCGACTAATTGCCGAGCATCCTCCAACTCCTTCCTCAGTCGCCTCAGCTTATCGGCACTCTGAGCATCTCTGCCCCGAGTCTTGCGAATCTGACGGACTTCGCGTCTACGGAAACAGACATAGGGATCTGTATCATCGGTTTCTTGCCCAGTCTCGAACTATATAAACGTTAGCGCGGCTATCTTCGCCATTCGCAGGTGAGCCACAGGAAAGTAATTTACCTTAAGGCTTGGCATGAGTGACCGGTTTCCTGCCTCAGTCCTCGTTGACTTCCAATGCTCATATACGTCCTTGGCGAATCGCTTTACGCTTTCCTCTACGGCCGCATCCATCGCATCCTGAATCTCGGCAAAACTCAGGACAGGTGGATTATCTACAGCTGCAAACGGCTGCTTTGTCTGCGCCGTCTCCTCGAAGAAGTGCATAACTTCTTCGAATTGGTCTTCGGTGCACCGGTCAGCGACATCCCGCTTTTCGTTCATGATCTTGAGGAATACATCATCCTCTTCGGTCATGTTATACAGACACCCGCAACAGTCCTCCACAGTGGAGGAGAAGCGGATGTACGTCGCAGGTTGCGAGAAGATAGGAGGGTAGAGCTCGTCATATCGAAGACTACTGAGAACGGTCTCTGGGGTCGGGATATGGGCCTCATTTACTTTTCCTTGGGCACTAGCATTTATAGCAGCTTGAAGATGGAATTCCTGTAGAAAGCCGCGTTAGCAGACCCTGTTTTGCGGCTTCTTGGCTACGATGCGAAATTTTCACGATGGGTGGACGTCGGGATGATATCACGTGACATGCACAGGGATGGGCTAAAATTAGACGGGGGACAACGTACCGACTCCTCGGCCTTCTCAACACCGGTTTCAATCTGTTGTATGGAATTTTGGACTTCTTCTTCGATGGCATCGATGTCATGCTCCCTGACTATGGGAATAGAGGCTTTGGAGGTGAGCTTTTTAGGGCGCGTCCTCCCCATTCCCCCGTACCTAGTCATGCGAACTTTGGGAGCACGAAAATGGTAAGGACCATGGGCCGAGGGGGATGAAATTAGTATGGTTCGATAGGCCTGGTCATGCGAGATCACGTAGTCGTAATTTTGTGATGATATCTGATGGAGGTGGGAAGATATCGACGATTGAAATCTCGTAGTAACCGCGCTGGCGGATGAGTTGACGTTGCAATGTCACCCGCCGGTCGCCTGTTTTGGAGCGCGCACGGCCTCAGGGGTTCGCTTGCCTGTCCGTTTCCGGTTAGTGCGGGGCTGGTCGATATCAAATTGCCTTGAACGGGTGCTCGTTAGCATGCCATCATTGTTGCGATCACCGCGTCGTTATCTGGCCATTTATCTACAATCTACCGATCTCCGGTTCAATCTATATCTGATACATACTGTCTAATTAATCTGCTGGTCGCCCTTGTTCCACCCTCTCCTATCACGTTCCTTACCACTTACCCGAACGTCACCCCAGCAGCCGACCACCAACAACATCATGGAACATTCCTCCGCACCCAATAACGCCGCCCTGTACGATGCGCGGAGACGGAGAGGCTCGGTCGGAACGTCGCAACTATTTGACAACATCGTCTCCGCTTCCAACTGTGAGTTCAATATTCTCTCGATCTTCACTTGCTGCCATGTCACTGACGCGTCAATCTCGGGACAGTCGACAGAGATGAGGTTGACCGACTGCGCAAGCGATTCATGAAACTGGATAAGGTTCGATGTGGCAGTGGAGTGTACAGCAGGCGCACATACTCATTCTTATCCTACAGGACAGCTCGGGTACAATTGATCGCGATGAATTCCTTTCCCTTCCCCAAGTGTCATCCAACCCCCTGGCAACGAGGTACGCATGGAACCTTTCCAATGGAAAAATCAAAATGATAAGTCTGGCTCACTTGTCTTGCACATTCAAGAATGATCGCGATCTTCGACGAAGACGGTGGCGGTGACGTCGACTTCCAAGAATTCGTTTCAGGTCTCTCGGCCTTCTCGTCTAAGGGTAACAAGGAAGAAAAGCTTCGCTTCGCATTCAAGGTCTACGATATCGATCGCGACGGGTACATCTCTAACGGAGAGCTGTTCATCGTATTAAAGATGATGGTTGGAAACAACCTGAAAGACGTGCAGCTGCAGCAGATCGTCGATAAGACGATCATGGAGGCGGATAAAGATCAAGATGGAAAGATCAGTTTTGAGGAGTTTACGGATATGGTGGAGAATACGGATGTCAGTTTGAGTATGACGCTGAGTATGTATTCCTGGTTTCCCCTTTCCCTAATCCGTAGGTTTTGGTGAAGTCATGGGACTGACCATTTTGCAGGCCAGATTTAGGTGTTGGACATTGGGATTGTTTGAGTTTCTTGTTCTTTGTTATCAGCCTCGCCGACATGTGCTGGTCGATTGGATCTCGTCGACATGATATGATAATGATAGCGATGACGACTTGTAGTTTAAGACATGCTACGTGCATAGTACAGATACGGACAATGATGAATATAGCACAAGACCATAAATCTTCATGGATGAATTTTTTCCTCCTTCGACATGGATTAGTACATGTACATACATATGTGGTACTTTTTTGCCGGCATATCAGATGTGGATCTGATATCGGGCAAATGAATTAAATCGACTCCGGTTTTTTTACTTTGCAAGTCATGGTAGGATCACCGGTCATTCGCTGCAAGGAAAGTAAATAGTGGAGTCTCCCCATGGAGTACACTCCAATCGTATTGGATTCCACTTGATCCACTACACCAAAGGAAGTAAGTTAATGTATGGAAAGTAAATTAAATTAGTAGATCGAACTTCGAAGAGATGATGGTACTTTTGACTTCACTGAAATGGTACTAGTAGTATATAGTATATATATCATGCTTACTTAGGGGCATCGGGAATCTCTTCGCCTCGGTTTTAGGCCTTGTCGCGAAGACTGCGCCACACCATTTTTACTAGTTTAGTGGCTGGGTTGGAACTATGGAGTTTCCTGAGGTCCTCTCTCCTATAGATTATTTTGGGCTTTTTGGGGTCTATTTGGGGAATCATTAGTATCAAGACTAGACTATTACTGAATATAACTCCCTATAGCATGGTGTCTTGACATATCAAATTATCAAAGCCTCTGCTAAAGTACTAACATCAGGTTGGTCGAACCGCCAGAGTGGGAAGGATTTTTAACAATGGAAGAAAGGATTATCCCAAAGGAATACAGCCATCGCTTGAAGAAAAGTAAAAAAAAAAAAAAAAAAAAAGATACGTACCGTACACAGAAGGTTGATCGACATGTATCAGTCAGTAGATGTAATTGATAGCGAGAAAGCAACCACTACCTTTGACCCGACACATCGGATGTTGGTAAGTTTGGCCAAAGAAGAGAGTTTCTAAAATCGATGCAGGTGGTGAAGTGGCGTTGCCTGAAAGCAGTTAGAAGTAGATTGATTGGGAAATAGTTGCGACGATTGGTATGGAACGTGTGGATTGTAGATCAGTTTTGTGGATGGGATTAAATAAATGGATGGAAGAAGTCCCACGGACATGGCGGAGATGACGATCGCGGGATCCTTCCAACTCAAATAGTTCTTGTCGATCTGAGTTCAGTAGATAATGTACCACCCTCTCGGGACGAATACCTCAGATTGCCTTTCTGTTATGACGTCTAGCTTTGAAGTGATCGGCTAAGGTTATAGTTTATGGAGTAAATTTAAAGAGAGAAGCCACTGTGTAAAGAAACGATCTCGTTAGGTGGCAACAGTTATAGAAGGTAGAGAAGAAGATGTTAGGGCAAGGAAACAAATGGGCCGAATACATCCATACATATAGACTTAATGCCGATATTATGGTGCGGTTAACCCCAAATTCACTGGCGGTAGGTGGTGTAGGAACATTCAGAAACGTCATGGTAGAGAGTTTGAAGTTGAAAGTTAGGGCTAGATCCAGGATTGCTTGGTGCACGTCACAAACAAAGAATATTCTGTGCGAGGTTTTTGGTATCTCAAGTAAATGACTCTCTTTGTGTCGTCACGTATTGAAAGACGCCCACCTGGTGGACAATTAGGTAGGCAAATCCAACCCCGTTCTATAGCACCGTCTTTAACCATAACCAATCGTAGGACTCCGATGCCAACCTTTTTCTACACAATTATAATGCAAATCCGTGGTATATATGTACATTCAATCAAACACTATGCCAGAAAGACCCGGAACTCCGATGATTTCTTTCTTCTCTTCTTTTCTTTACTTTCATGTATCCTTCTCTTTCAAGAGTCCTAGGGGCATGAGTGCATCCCCTCAGGCCATGAAGAATGTGAACGGTGGGTCATCGCGATCAGATGGATCGCCAGCGATCGGGAATTCCAAATAGCCCCAAGTGGAAAATTGATGGCGTGGACTTCATGAATCGCATTTAGCCCTAATTCCGCCAAAACAGGAAAGGGGAAGGCAAGACGGTGCGACCTCGAAAGAGATCAACAAAGGACCGGCGCATGCATGTATCACCAGAAGTCTATCTAGCAGTCGATGACTCGATAGTTCGTGATGGTCGCCGACCTTCCAGGGCCTAATTTAGGCCCCTGCGTTAGATCGCACTAGGCGCGGCGCGTCATTACAGCCTCCGTGTAGTGTGGCGGGAGGGATTCTCACGATCGAGGTCCAGCAATAGCGGGCGCAGTGCCCATGTGGGCGCGAAGCACCTCCGGTAGGCTTTCGTAGAGATCGAGACATTGGCCCAAGACTGAACGTTACTCTTAGCAAACCTGAATATACCCTAACAGTCAAGCGACCGGCTGAGGACTGCTTACCACCAAGGATCTCCTCTTCCCAGATCCCCATCTGATAGTCCACTAAGCCAAACTGTTCCACGCGATCGCACAGCTGAATCAATTCCTTCCCTAAATTATCCATCACATCATCATTCAGGAGAGAGGTATGTGGCGGCTGACGACGTGTTCGCAACACATCTTGCAACAGGTCCTTCTGTTTTTGACATACCGCTAGCCAGCAAAGATTGAAATCATTCCAGAGTTGCAAACGGTCGGCATAGACCACTTGATCGTCGCGGAGAATACCTACTTATGCAGCCCGCCCCGGGTGCTCAGATTAGCCTTCACAGTACTCCAAATGTGGTCTTGAAGGAAGTATGATTCTCGTAGTAAGATAAAGTCCAGATCTAAACAAATGGAGAAGGAGAGGAAGGGAGACGTTGGGAAAGCGAGTCCGGTGAGAGAGGAAATAGTATCCATGTATGTACATACCGAGTTCCCGGGCATTGGTCACAAGCCACTCGGAGATTTCCAAAAGGGATCGACTAGCTTCCTCCAATCGCCCAGTGCGCGCATTGTCCAAGGTACCTCGCAGCGCTCTTTGAAACTGGCCGTATGCGTCAGTCAAAGTCGTTGGTTCAGGTATAACCTGGGACGATGCTTGTTGCGTTTGTTGTTGTTGTTGTTGCCGCTGCTGCGACGATGACGAGTCGAATCGTCCGGCTGTCCCCCCAGGAGGCATATCGGTCATGGTTGTGGGAAAGGGCTGGGAGCCGGTTGGGCGTCCAATAGGACCTGGCTGGTTATAAGTAGGGGCAGAGGTTAGGTAAGGCACACCCACGGCCGGAACACCAGCGCCAGTCGGTTCGTTTGGAGAGAAATACTGTGGAACGGGAAATTGGCCGGAGAGGTCATCGATGGCTGCAGACGGCCGGGCTGAGTATGGTGTCACGACCTCATAAGGGGCTTGCGCAGGACCTTGCGGGCTGATGCTGTAAACCATTTCAGGCTCATAGGGAGCGAAAGGTTGTTGTAGTTGCTGTTGCTGCGGTTGACGCTGTTGGTCGCGCAACGAAGGGAACGGTTGCAATTCGTCCCCCTGCAATGAACCGCTGTGAAAGGTCGGGTCTGTGTATCCATAGTCCAAGTACGTCGGCATTCGTGGCCGTCCCGCTGCTTGTGACAGTGCATCTCCACGTGTTGATTGTAAGCCAGATTGTCTGTATCGGTCCGTTCCTGCAACTGCACGACGGGACATTCCCGGCCTTGTTGCAAAGCGAGGTTGATCATACTGCTTCATGCGCCGGGTATCACCATCCATACCACCCAGCCGGTCCCACAAAGAGTCCCTACACAGTGGATCCACGTCAAGGGACCAATCCGCCGGAGGGGAAAGAGGAGGGCTCGCGTACGATGCCAGCTTGGCGGAGGTGAAGGGGAACGGGTTTTGCGCCTATTCCTGAGTCGTATGTAAAGCTGTGTGTCTCTTGTTTCTCTTCTCTTTTCTTCTCTTTTCTTTTCTTTTCTTTCTTTTTTTTTTTTTGTTTTCCCTTTT